CGCCACTCGCAGCGCGTCGGTGCACTCGCACGACGACTCCGCCACCTCGGCGAGCTCCGCGCTCGAGACCTCCGCGTGCCAGTCCTGGACGACGGTCCCGACCTTGGCGAGGCCCGCGCCCGCCGCGAAGGTCGTCTGCGCGACGAGGGCGCGCCCGCTCGGCAGGTAGAAGGCGGCGCCCACGGTCGCCACGGCGAGGAGCGCGGCGCTCACGCGCGGCACGACGGGCGCCTCCCGCGCCGCCTCATCGTCGCCCGAGTCGAGCTTCGCGTACGCCGGCCCGCGAAACATGGGGGCTGCCAGCCAGCCCACCCGGTGGCGCAGGGCGACGAGATCGTCGTGCGTCTCGAAAGTGGCCGCGCCTCGGGACGCTGCCGGCCGTATCCTGCGAATCTTTCGCCGGCGCCCCGCGACGGCGGCGCGGTACTCGAGTGAGCGGTACTTGGCGACGCCCGGGACATGCCGCGCCGCGGCCCGGCGCCGGACGAGGCGGGCCGCACCGGCGCCGGTCTGCCCCCGACGGCGGCGGCCCGCGCGCGGACGAGCCCCTGAGAAGTCCCCCGAGGACCTCGGCCACCTCGGCCACGGACCCCCCGGCCCGGCCACCTCGCGCCGCGCGCCCCCTGCCGCCGCGTCGGGCGCCTCCCCGCCGCGCCTCCCCTCGACCGGCGACACGGAACGAGAGAGCGCCGCCGTTACGCGCGCCCGACGGCGCCGGGCGGTGGCCCGCGCCTACGCCTTGGGCGCCTTCTTCGACTTCTCCATCATCATCTGCTTGACGATCTTCTGCTCCTCGATGAGGAAGGCGCGGACGACGCGCTGGCGCACGCAGCCCGCGCACCGGCTGCCGCCGTAGGCGCGCGACACCGTGCGCTCGCGCTTGTGCGTGTTCTTGTAGGAGAAGCTCGAGAGGTGCTTGATGCCCGGGAGGGAGCACTTGCAGTCGCCGCACTTGGGGCCCTGGCGCTTCTTGGACGCGTAGTGGCCGACGAGGCGCCCGCCGGGCGTCTTGACCGCCTTGAGCACGTTCGACTTGGTGTTGTACGCGTGGCGCCGCTTGAAGGTCACGCGCGTGTCCTTCATCGTGGCGAACCTGCGGGGCACGGAGAGGGTCGGCGACCCCGGGGCGCGGCGGCGGCGGCGGGGGGGGCGCGTCGGGTTCGCGGCGGGGGGGCTCCGCCGCGGCGGCCGGCGGGGCCGGGCCGGCCGCGCGCGCGCGCCGGCGCGGCGGCGCCGCCTTCGCGCGCGCGCCGCCACGAGGCCGACGCAACGTCGCGGCCGCGCCGACGCGCGACGGCGGGCGGGCCGCGCGCCGCCGCGACGGCGCCGCGGGCGCGCCCGCGGGCGGCGGCGGCGCCGCATGGGCGGACCCGCCGCCGCGGCGCGTCGCTTCGTCGCGTCGAGCGCGCAGCGGCCGGCCCCTCCGGCGGCGGCGCGAGCGGTGGGAATCGAGCGGGCGCAGGGGTAAAGAGACGCTGCCATCCGCACGGTGCGACAGCGACGACGAGCTCCAAAACTCGCCCAAAATCGCGTAATCCTAGCTAAACCTATTTGGCCGGGGGTCACGGTG